ACCCAAATTGAATTACTTCCAATGGAAATTAAACAAATGTTGGTCCAAAATGTGATTTCCCTATATAAACTATAGTAAAGTTTACCCCCTCCCCAGGGGGAGTCGTGAGACCCCAGGGTCATGAAATTCACAATTTCGGTAAAGCACCTTAAGACCCTTCCATCTATGAAGAGTATTTGATTCTACCATATCTGGGTCCTGAGAAGAAGATATTTGAAATTTTAGTCAATTTGACCCTTTTTGGCCCCACCCCTCAGGCCCCTGGGGGCTTAGGACTAAACTATTTTTGTTGACCTTTACTCCATGGAAGCTCCCTGCAAAATTTCATTGAAATTGGTTCAGGGGTTTTGGAGAAAAAGTCGAATATGTAAATTGTTTACGGACGCACGACGGACGACGACGGACAAAAGGCGATCGCAATAGGTCACTTGAGACTTTGTCTCAGGTGACCTAAATAGAACTTAAAAATGGTAATTTCATGATTGAAAAACAAACAAAAATAATTACAGAGTGGGCAGCGTTATTGATTTCCTTATCACGTGAGAGGATAGGCATTTCCTGGAAAAGTTTATAATCTTTAGGAGCTGTTTCTTTATACAAAATTGCACATTCAAATATACCATTCATTGAAAGAACTGGAATATCTTAGGGATTGATAAACCCTTACATTGTATGTATGAAAATGGTTTCAATATCCTGTACCTTTGCCACATCTTCAAAATTAAACTGAAAATGTAGTCAGAAATTCAACATTGTTTCCCATATTTTGTTCTAATTGTTGAACAGACACTCCTTACCTTCCCTGACACTGGAGCTGGGTAGTAATCCAAAAACATTTGTATCTATTATGAAGGATACACTCAGACTGGGCTATTGAGAATAAAGAAAAACTTACCTGGTTCTGATTAGTACTCGCTCACACAGGTACATGTAAATTATCTGCAGTGTAGGATAGGTGAAAAGATTGTCCAGGTGAACATTTTTTACTCAATTTTTGTTACTTGTTACTCGAAAACCATGCAATAACCTTTACATACTAAATGTCCATGTCATAACTGTCATAAGGTATCACATATCAGCTCTCTTTGTCAGGCACAGGCAAGGTAAAACTCTGGTCAATCATCAAAATGTAATTTACCTGTTCTGTTACCTGGGAGCTTAACCCATTCTTGACAGTCAAACAGACACTGTAATGCTATGTAACACGCATTGTAAAATTAAACCGGAAATTTTTAGCTTGGGTCGTACAAAGGGGAATAACTCTTATTGCAACGTTATGCTTTGGAAGTGAGCTGACGCGAGGTGTCGCTTTACATCCGGTGGAAACGAATGTAAATATATCGTAAGGTGAGTTGTTTTCACAATCGTCTGCTGGATAACTGAACTAATCGGTAGTGAAGCGGACGTAAAAACCTATCAATCAATCTATCAATTTGTTTTCACTCGTAAACTTAATATTGAACGTACCTATCGCACAGAAAAAGAAAGTTTTACTTATAATATCGTCGTGTATAAGGAAAGATTGTTTTTAGGTCTGGCCTTCACAAATATTAAGAGAAAACAATTCTTGAATCACGAACAGACAGTCGCTAATGGCTAATGAAAAGTTCAAAGTTATTTTTTGCAGTAAAGTGGCGTATATGATTTAACACACCAGAGACTTGTAGTAATAAACAATTTTAATCTGATGCGATGAAAAAATAACAAGTTTCGGGAAGTGCTTTGGCATGTTGGATAGACGTAGTACATATACATAGGTAGTCCAATACATAATCATGCAACAAATCGGATTGCAAACGTGGTATAAATGCTAATGGTCTAACTGTTATTTGTTGCTTAGGATAGTAGCCAGAAGTAATTCTAAAATATTTTTCCATTGTCAAATTATCAATGTTTTTTTATTTTTCATGTTACTATCTGACTATGTACAGTAAAGTTCTTACTTTTGATATGAACTGTTATTTTTTTAACAGGTCATGGAAATACAGAAAAAAAAGACTGGTACCTGTTCTAGCCAAGGGTGGAATCGTTACAAGAATGGCCTTTGATTATATAATGTGTTGCATTTCTGATGTCAGTTTTTTGTGTGTGATAAATAAAAATCTTTTATGTATCTGCAAAAAATGTTTTGTTTTATTTTCCTACAAAGATCTTGAAGTGAAAATATCAACAATGCAGATGCTATAGTAACCAAAGAAAGCCAGGATTTGTTCGATACATTTGTAAATCTTATCTTAACACCCAAAACGACGTTACGCCGCGACACCGTCAAAAGTCTCACACACTGTAAAACCCAGTGGAGGGAGATCTCCCACATTGGACTCCTAAGAGGTTGGCAACCCTGCTTGGAAGATGTGTGCACGATTTATGCACACTATTTTTGGTGCTTTGTGCGGTCACACAACTGGATTTGACCAAAGGTGACCTTGAAAAATTTTGATAGCCCTTCATGCAAGCGTGCTACTGCCCAAATATCAATATGACAATTGACCCCTGTGACCTTGAATATGAGTGAATGTCATTCAATTGCACAACTTAGTAGCCCTTCATCCAAGCATGCTGCTGGCCAAATATCATCACCTTGGGCGTTTTGGTTATTCAGAAGAAGTTGTTTATAGTAAAATCTTGACGCCGGACGACTTATTATTTTAAATAATATGATCAGTGTATGCCGCTACAGTAGAAAGTGGACAGATTTCATTTAAATTAGAAAATTGAGAATTGACCCAAGTGATTTCCCCACATTGCAAATTTGACAGAACACCGTACACATAACTTTAATATCTATATCTTGTTGCCCCTGGATATAGTAGATATTTTACTGAAATAAGCCTTACACTGATAAATATATTGAATAGAATCAAAGATACATGATAGAAACCTTACATTGATGATCTTGTGGTCCTTGCTCTGCAGTCCTTGTGTCAGGAGCCTCCCAAGGCCATCTGTTTTAGGTGGGGCCTTTGAAACCTTGTCTGTCTTGGAAGTCCCCATACCGATAGCATTTAGACGTGCTTCAATCGTCATCTAAAACCAAAATATAACTAATTCCCATGAAAAACTGTAAACAAAATGAACCACATATGACACACTATTTAATTGATGGTATAGCCTAATATTTGTATACTTAGAGGATAACCCTAATGTATTTTGAAATTCGCCACAGTATATCGTGATTATACTGTCGCAAATCCGAGTTTTACTGGCGACAATGTTCAAAGTGAGGCGGAATTACGTTGACCTTTCGGGATCAATCAATTTCATGACGTGTCAGGGTTAGTCAGGGTCATCGATGTCATTAACAATCGCCATCCGGGCTTCATATGCAAATGAGAAATTACAGTAAGTATATCATGGTTTTACTGTATGACTGTCGCAAATAATTTTCATTGACCAATCAAATGCCTCGTTACATCTCAAATGAATAAGAATTAAGATTGACTTTATGGGAACAGGTGTTCCAGCATATCACTTAATTCAACGGCACCACCAAGAAATGCAGACCAGTCTCAATTTAAAGTAGTGTTGGAATCAGTTGAAATTTCATGATCAATCATCAAATCCCTCTAACAAATCAATGAATGATGAAAAAGATAATAAATTTTGGATTGTATTTCAGATATTTGAACACTAGCAGTGTCTAATACTGTACTTGTATTAGTTGTAAACATGTTTTTCAGCTTATATTTCTGATGGTGTCAGTCAGTCAATACACCTATCCATGTAGTAAACTACAATGTCATGTGTTTGCTTGTTAATTCATTTATATGGTATCTATCAATCAAAGTTAGCACACTACATTGGAATCTGTATTAAGCGTCCACCCCAGGGAAATTAAACAAGTGGCCCAGAGGGCCTGTATCGCTCACGTGGATAATGAAAATTATTCTTAAAACGTATAATACTGCAACTATTTCCAAATATTGGCTTACTCTCTCAGCAACACCCATCCCTCATTAGGTCCCTTCTTTCTGTCCCCATGAATTGGGGTGGATTAACCTCAATGTCCCCTATTGAGCCCCCTATACACCCGTTAAAAGGAACCATCTATTTATACAAAATTTGGTCCCCTTTGCCCAAGGATGCTCTACACAAAATTTGATTATAAACTAAAGGAAAAGGATTTTAAACAATTATTACAATTTTACCCCTACTGCACCCTTCCCCTTTGCTCCAAGGGGGATTACACTCGAGTCCACCTTGCAAAATGATGCTCTGGACCAAATTTGGTTAAGATAACTCCAATCATTCAGAAAGAGAAGGATTTAAACCTCTAATTTCCCTTTTGGACCCTATCTCTCTGCACCCAGAGAGGCAACACCCTCCGTTCATACAAAATTTAGTCCCCTTCCCTGAAGGATGCTCCAGGTCAAATTTGGACAAAATCTCTACAATGGTACAGAAGAAGAAGGATTTTAAAGGTTTAAACCTCAAATTCCCCTATTGGGCCCCAACCCTCAGCACCCAGAGGGACCACATCTTCTGTTTTTACAAAATTGAGTCCCCATAGCCCAAGGATGCCTCAGGCTAACCTTTGGATAAAATACTTCCCATGGTATAGAAGAAAAAGGACTTTGAAGATTTAAACCTCAAATTCCCCTATTGAGCCCCACCCATAAGCACCCAGAGTGGTCACAGCCTCTGTTTATACATGGCCACACCCTCCGTTTATACAAAATTGAGTCCCCTTTGCCCAAAATTTTGATAAAATCACAGATGCAGGGTGATTCAAATAGCTAGGCCACATCTAAATAATTTAAGAATATTAAGTTATCCTAATTTGAAAGTACAAGAGGCCCAAGGGCCTTAGCGGTCACCTGAGTTATATCATAGATACTGGTAGCTTTATTTTATTGTTTAGATGTGATGTGGAAATCAGCATGTAAACTAAGTGAAATACAATACTTGTCATGTCATCAATGGATAAGAATTTGAAAATATTGGTAAATGTTCCCTTTGGGGCCCCGCTCTAGCCCCTGGGGATGGGGCAGGAATCCTAATTTTACAAAGTAAAACTCTCATTTACCCAAGATGATTCTGACTAAGTTTGAGCAATTTTCTGCTGAAAAT